CTTTCAAAACGGCAGAAAACAAAAGCTGCTGTGCTACTATGCCACAGGAACCGAAACTGGATTAAAGTCTCCCTTTCAACCAATTACTCAGCTAATATGCCAGAAGACTAGTGCTATTATTTCACGCATGGCAAGCAGTTTCGCAATGGCTTGGCTTCGGCCTTGTAAAGGTTTACTTTCGAATTCGGATCAATCTCGATAACAACAATGCCAATTATAATCAGGATACGTCCAGGTCTTAATACGGATTGTGCAAAGTCAGAAAATAAATAAAATAAATTATTGAGACTGAACCTTAGATTTCGAATAATTCTGTGAAAAGAAGTCCAATTTCTAGTTGATCAATCAATATTTCGGTCATATTTTGTACAAAATTTCCTAGTTGTGACCGTCAAACATTTACTTACCTAACCTATTTACTTACCCTAAACTTTCAGCTATCAAACTGTTTTTTTTTTTTTAAGAGATTCTTTCTTTAAATTTTGGGAAACCCTACACCATAAAAGACGAAATGGATTAAAATTATTTAATTAAATTTCGTTCTCTGTAGGCATGGTGCTGGTCCTCAATGAGTATAGAGCACCTCAGTTTAAGGTAAAAAAGTCAATAAATTCTTTTTGAAGACAAGCAGAAACTTAACTAACTATTTTTCAAATTTAGAAAAAGAGGAGACTATCTACTGAGCTTAGGGGCTTTCGTGCTCATACCTAGTAATGTTCATAATACGTTCATAAAACGTTCACAAAGAAACAAAGTTTTTGTTTGCATTAAAATTTCGTATCTTATCTATCTAACAAACATTATTTTTTCGATTTTCTCTTCGCAAAGATAGGCAGTTATTAGCAAAAGGCCGAACATATCGAAATTCTGCATTGCGTGTGTAAAGGAGTTGGATTCGAGCCGATCACCCTTTACATACTACTTCACCTTGTTTTGTGATCAATTCGTAGCTCATTTCCAAGCTAACTTGTTTTCGGATGTGTTCTCATTAATATTTTCTCTCTCTCCTCAAGCGGTTTGATTATATGAAATTTGCCACTGCATTGCTCTAATAGATGACAATAAAAAGTAATCAAACAAAGGTAAATGTTTTGTTGTCGTTAAATTTCTTGTACTCTATAAAGACATTTCCCCGCTCTTGACAAATATTACTTACCGTATTATAGCATAAAAGGAAAGTGTTGTATATTATACAACCTTCCTATCTAATCGGTTGACATTGTTAGCAATAACGATAAGAAATCAATAATATTTGCTATCACAAAACAGCAAAGCAAAAGAGTTATACCAATCTTTAATTAAAAATAAGAGAAAAGCACAAAAACACTTCCCGCTAACCTTTGAGCTCGCCTTTGAGCTCGCTCACTTACTTACGAAATGCGCATTAAATTGAATTTCGAAGTAGTTAACTAAAACGATTTGTTATTTCTATTTGCTATATCGATGCCACTTAACTTTAATAACATTCATACGCCCTACACAAACGTTTCATTGGTTACATGTACATTATATTGCATTTACCTTTTTGTTCGATTTGTTGTTGCACCGGTTGCTGCTGTTTTGTATCGGTATTTGTAATTTCTTGTTTTGTTGAGTTTTGTTGTGGTTGCACTTGTGCTTGTGGTTGTTGTTTCTGTTGTCGTAAAATGTCTTGTTCATCCTGCGTTTCCTGCTTGTTCGTATCGGCCGATTGCTTGGCCTGCAATTGTTTCTGTGTTTCTTGTATTTGTTGTGGTTGTGGTTGTTGTTGTACAAGCTCCTGTTGTTGTTGATGTATTTGTTGTTCTCTCACCGGCACTTTATCATTATCAACCAAAACAGTTGCTGGAGAGGCAACAGCATCCATTATAACCGAGCTTTTATCCAAAACGTCTGCCATCGTTTCAGCGCTTTTTCTCTCTAATTTAATTGCAAAAATCTTTCGTCCTCTCTTCTCGTATACTCACGCAGAGTGCAGCTCAGAGTGAACACAGGAAATGCGAGCTGTAATTTTAACGGGATGTAAAAAGATTCGCAATGATTTTCTATTTCTTTTTTTTTGTTTTTTTTTGCTTCTTGTTGTCGTCTCGTGTGTATGCGTATAAGCAAATTCTCTTCTTGTTATACTTTTTCAAAGAAATTTTATGTAATTTACAGAAACATATGTATTTTGCATATACATATCATTTAAAGATGTAAATTTCCTATATTTTGCTTTTTTTTCTTTTTTGCTTTTCTTTTCTTTAATTATTACCTATCGGTTAAGTGATTGACTATAGCACTTTTGTAATAATTTCACTAAAGTAAAAAAAAAAAAATAGAATAGAATCACTTAAATAAAAAAATGCACAATATTCTTTTGCGTATAGAAAATTTACTTAAAATTCAGTTCTTTTTCTTTCTTTTTATTATTCTTTAACACTTTTGTCGCTATTTTGCCTGAACCGGTTGTATTTAAATTACTTTTAATTATTTTAAGATTAGTTTTTTATTGAAATCTTCTATTTGCACCTTTAATCAATTAATGTGTATTCTCTGTATACACATATACATATATATGTATGAATAATCATATGGTTCGGCTCATACGAAAAATGAATAATCCGCTTATATCACCTTTTTCGCCTGTTATCTTTGATATCTTTTTTAAAATTAATTTTTCAGAGTTTTTCAGAAAATTGTTTTTAATAGTCGTTAAAAACTTTCCGTCTCAACATATCAGAGTGTATTTTACTCCCAGCGAATTCAAAAAGAGATTGCAAACTGTAAAAGCCACTCGATGTTGTGCATAAGAAATGCACAGCAAACTCAATTTTACTCTGAGAATAAAATTTTATTCTCTGCAAATTCGCAAATAAGCCAATCGGGACATCCATAAGAAATGAACAGCAAAGTAAATTTTACTCTGAGATGTAGAATTTTATTCTCAGCAAATTCAAAAAGCCACACTTCTTAAGAAATGTACATTTGACTGTCGTTATTTTCGCTTGAAAGCAAAACGATTTTGAGCTTTGCGCGAGAGAAAGAAAGAAAAGGAAAAAATGCTTAGCTTACTGTCTAATAGCTTTCGTTAAGCTTTTTTAGTACATATCATGCAATAGGAAAACTTTATTATTTATGATAGCGCTATCTAGTGCATTAAATTTTATACAATATAAATCGATTGCTTATAGTAGAGAATAAATGAGAGAACGAGAGAGAGAGAGAGAGAATATGAGAATATGAAAAAAAAAATTGATTATTTCAAAATCTCAATTTCAAAAATCCTTCTCTTAAGATTTAAAATTTAAATCATCTCTTGTCTAGAATAAACCAATGAGCCAAATGAGAAATCAAACACTTTCCTTTTACTTTTGCATTTTAAAATATTTCTATCTCTTACGCGTTTAATGAGTTCCGTTTAAATAACGAATAATACAAAGAGATAATTTTTTAATCTTTCAAAGCTGCTTTTAGCCGCTTTTAGCTAATAATAGCACTAGCTATCGGTTTTATTGAAAACTCTACTACACTTGGTATTTCAACCCATGACCATTCAATTCGTAATCAAGAACCTTTGGCTATTCGACCACTCAGGCGTTTGCTGAATAAATACAAAATTTGGGGTAAACACGTGTGAAAAATATAGCTTTCGCTTTTGTATTCCACTGTTTGCAAAAGCGGCTGAATACAAGATCGAAAGTTAACTTTCTGTGATTACCCCACAGTCTTTGTTTTTGAAACTCGCGGAAATTTGGATGAACTGGAATGAAAACATCCCCAATTACTTCGTAAATAGACCCACTACCCAAAAGATTTTGGACAATAGATTATCAGGTTTCTCCAAAAAGTGAAATTAATTCTCATGCTTGATAATACCAATTATTTCTTCAGTGGTTGCAGTGATCTGGCCAGTTTAGTATGTTCGAAAAGAGCGTTACCTACTTAACTCACTACATTGGCAGCAGTGTAAAATAATTTATGGCTACCAAGTCCGCAATAACTTTTTACAACAGTAAAATCTTGAGGTGTTATTTGCTTTTGTATAACATTACCTATCAAGCGATACTTTAACTCAGGTCTTACCAATTCCATGGCTTTGCTCGAAGGTTCGTATCTTACTTGAACTAATAAAATAATTGAGACCAATCGAGACGTTATCAGCAAAAACGTGTTGTGTTCAGATGGAATAGCTTTAGATCGGGTGTGACTTCACAAATTACCTCATTAAACGACGTATGAAAGGAAGTAATTCAAGAGCGAACGAGTGAAGACGAAACAGTGAAATAAAAACAGATATCGCAGAAGCGCTAAAATATTCACATCAAGCCTACAAATATGCTTTAAGATTTCTACCCAAGCTACATATCGATCGTGAGCGCTATCAGGAAACGGAAGTGACTTGTTTTGAGATTCGATAACGAAAGATAATAAAAGCAAACACGCAGTCTTTTGACTATTAATCATTCAGGTTAAATAATTGCTCTTCGTTCCTTTGAGTTTAGTTGATTTCCGCCCCTTTTTTTGATATCAAGTTTTTTTATTATTAATTAATATTAAGTATTAAATGGTATTTTAATTTTACTTGTGTCTTAAGAAAATGAACAACAAAAATATTTTTAAATTTTTTCTTATTTTTTTTTAGAGCTTTTCTTGTTTCTTTTTTTTTTTCTTGTTTTCTTTGGTTTCTTTCATTTTTTTAATTATAATAAAATTATTTTCTTAATAATGTTTGTTTGTTTGTTTATGTTTCTTTTACAAAATAATTATTATTCATGTTCGATGTTTGGCTTGTTTCTTTTGATTTGCATATTATCATTGTTGTTGTTGTTGGTGTTTGTTGTTGGTGTTGTTATAGCAAAAAAAGTTACACATTTGTTTTAAACATGTTTTACGTATTATTTACGTATTGCATTAATTTAATTAAATTAGTAATGAATAATTACTACGAGAGAGTATGATGAAATTAAACAATAACATCTATTCCGAGAATGGTTCATTTTTAATAGAGCTATACATTGTGCAACGATGTTTTTTCATTTTTTTTTTTTTTTTATTTTATTTTAGTTGATCGGGTCTGTCACACATTCTGGCAAGAAATGCTGCAAAATTGAACGAAAGAAAAGATAAAAAACAATTTTTTATACTGATTAAATTGGTTTTGTAAGGAATTCGTGTAAGAGTTATTTCACAACATTCTCGGGAGTTTTGGTTACATTTAGTCATCCCTTCTTCCTGCGAAATTCTTAGCCTCAGGTCTGTCTTTATTTCTAATACTACTATTATCCTATTATTTGACCTTGTACTTCACATTAGCGGACAGAGAAGTATTACATCATATTTACTTAGCATTATTGTCGATCCCTAAAAGATTTGTCCGTAAAACATTAAAAGCCGTCTGATATTCGTTACAGAATCTACTTTACATAAACAGTCAGTTTCTGCTTTAATAACTCAAGTAGTTCGGATACACAGACCCTTTTACTAAGGTGTATTTCAGTTTCATACATAAATCACATTAAAGATATCACTTACTATACTTACCGCTTTAGTCGAACACAATTGGATCACTCATAAGTCTTTGGACAAATTCTATGGTTGGATAATGTTGAGGATTGGTTGGTACGGTTGTGTGTTTAAGTGTGCAAGAGTGTAAAACAAAGTGCACATTTGTGACAATTGTTGTAGTGGGTTGACATATAAGACATATATGTGTGGAGAGTGAAATAGTGCGATAGTTTTAAACATTTTTTAGGTGATAATTAACAAGTGCGTTACATTCCACAAAAAAGACATCAATCAATCAAGTGTGAATCGGTTGAACATTGTGCCCACGCATTTTAACATGGAATATATAGTGAAATATGTTAACAATAAAACATCACAGAGAGATTTTACAAAAATTTTAATAATTCATGTTCGGACTTCGGTAAACTTACGGGAATAGGGAATCATGCCTTCATCATCTTCAGGATCCATGCAATCGGCAAACAATTCTTCAACCTGTTCATCTTCCAAGTTTTCACCTAATAGAATATTTTACAATAATCGTTAAATGCTTTCATAATGAGATCGATTTTCTGATTAATATTTTACCCAACGATAACAAAGCGTGTTGCAATTCGGCCAAGAGCATAGTACCGTCTTCTTGTTTATCGTACAATTTCAAACATTCAACGAAATCTTCATAACATCCCTGCTCCTTTTCTTTCTTTACTTGCGAGTAAATTGGAAGGAATTCTTCCAATTTAATTTTTTTCTCGTGACGTCTTTTAGTACCGCCCAGTTTCTCAATGAAAGCCAAAGTAGGATTCAAGTTGAGAGAACGCAAAGCGTCGCCAAGATCAACGGCGTCGATACCCTCAGTCGGAGAGCCCATAACTTCGAAAACGAATTCGATATCTGTTCAAAACAGTTACGATGGAAATAGAAATAGAGAGAAATATATTGATATGAATTATTCTCTTCATCCGTAAATATTGTTTACATTTCAAATACGCAATAAGCATGATCTGATAAACTTCTTCTGATTTTTGAATAAGTGGTTAGTACAGGGACATTAGTCAAGAGCACAGAGACCGTGGCATTCATTTTGTCTATTCCTAAAAACTATTGCGCGAATTTTGATCAAAATTATGTTTAATTGTTGGAAAAGAGCTATATAATAAAGCTGCTATAATCATTGCAAAGATAAAAAAATCGTTACGTACGTAATTGATAGAAATTGCAAATGTAAATCATATTTTCGGACAAAATATTATCATTGTAATTGATGAAAATTGAAAATAAAAGTCTTATTTTCGGACAAATGCAAACCCTAAAAGTAAATAAGGTTTTCGAATGAATGTAACAATTATCGACAATAGCAAATTTTAACCTTAAATATGCAAATTACAAATAATTAAGTAAAATTCGAAAATTACGAAAATTTTTAGATTTTTATACGCTTTTCGCATATTCCGCATCTTTGTCGCCTAAGTATTATATTTATTTTATTGCATAAATTTATTCGTTCTAAAGCATGAATTTCGCAGTGAGAGCATATTATTTCACATAAAAAATTTTGGAATGTTTCAGGAAATATAAAAAAAAATATATATGCGTATATGTCTTAAACTTATAAGTGCAAACAGCATTCAAGTAAACATACTTGTCCTTCTTTCGTTAAATGCATGTACAATATGAGAGTAAATATAAGAGGAATAGAGAGAGAGAGAGAGAGAGTGAGAGAAGAGATGGTTATGTCATAACACTAACTTAACAGTAATTTGACACTTGCTTGAAAACGCTCAATTATTCGAACTGATACAACGCATTATGAAACTCTCTTCCTTATCTCTCTATATCGAAATTTATATATATATATATATGTACATATGTATTGAAAATATCTCTGGATATCTGAAAGAGAAGCAGAAAACGGCGAAACTGGTGTACATGGGATACATATACATGGGATATATACCGTATATATATATATATATATGTATATGAATATCAAATATATATATGTAAGTGTATGTGCTTAGCCAAAATTAGGCATGCGTTTGCAACGATTTTACGCATCGTCTCATTCTCTCTCTCTCTCTCTCTCTCTCTCTCACTCTCTCTCTCCCTTTTTTTTTTATGCGTCTCTCTCTGTCGTTCTCTGTGCTTATCTTTTATAGTGGCATTCGCCTAAATGAAAATCTATTTTGGTTGGAAAATGCTTTTCACATTCCTTGGATGTGCATGTGTGTTGAATTTCGAAAATTTCGAACTTAACGGCACATATTAAGGCATTTATCTGTTTTGCGGTCACTTTTCTTCTTTTTTTTTTTGCTTTCCTTTAACTCACACACATTAACGCACTATATTTTTTCGATGTTAATCTTCAAAAATAGATCATTTTAGCAAGCGGCTATAAGGCGAAATTAATTTTTAATTACATGTACAAAATGTTTTACTTATATAATTGTGTTTTCATTTCAAAAATTAAAAAAAAAAAAAATTTCTTTTTTTTTTGGGAAGATCTCTTTTTCTTTTGCCTTTTGTATTCATCATCACCATCATCATCATGATCGGATATTAATAGTGTTTATTTACAATTGTTAAGGTTAGAACTTTTTGAAGCGGTTAATTATTTACTATTATTATAGTTCCAGTAATTTGAAACTTACTTTCAACTTCACGCTTTGGTACATCGGCCTAATGTTTGTTTTTTTTGTCGTTTCCGTTATTTTTTTTTTTTTTTTTTTTTTGCGTTGAAAAAAGAAAAAAATCAAAGAAAAAAAAATTATTGAAAAATGAATAGAAATTTTTTTTGTTGTTTTTCGTTTATTTTTGATTATAAGTATTAAATTTATTATTAACTATTCTTTATTTTTTCGTTATGTATGCTTCTTTTGATTCCACTTGTGTGTATTCAATAAGCACATCACCACTCACCATTTTTGCTTTGTTGGATGAGAAAAAATCAACTAACTCGCGGATGAGCTCGGTCTCGACTGAACACTTTTCATCGACAACAGAATGCAGAGGTAATTCCAAGGTAGATATCTACAAACGATCGCCACATTTCCTATACAAACACATCGTTGCTACATGCTCACATGTACATATACATATAGGCGAAGAAACACGAAAAATGACGAAATCCTTTTCTACAATAGACTTTCATATATAAACAACGACCCCACAAAAATCTCTTCATACACGAATACACGCACATGCAAGCCCCATCAAGAATAGTTACTTTTTCGAAGAAAAAAAAAAAGAAAAGAATATCGAAAATACTTCTCCGTCTATCTTTTGAAGCACACACCTCTCTCTCTGCACATATAGAGATGTTAGACATATTATTCCACTGCCAACATTAAATATTTAAAATTTTTGTTTTTGTTTTATTTTTTTAATTTTCATTTATTTTATACGCTATTATACTACAATTGATTTGGCAGGCATTAGTCAGCTTTTAGCTTATCATATGGTATGTACACTTCGGCCACCCACACCCCGCTTCCACTATTTGAATTTCTCCTTAAATAAAAAAATTTATAAACATACATAAATAAAACTACACAGCTACACCTTCGAATTGCTGCTGCCTGGCTGCTCAAAAGCAAGTATACAAAAATGCTCTTTTGCTATTTTTAAAATTTCACGTCTCAAAAACAAAAAAAAAAAAAAACGACGAAGAAGAAGAAAAAACTTAAAATAAATAAAATACAAAATAAATAATAATTGTTCATGGCATTTCATTTATTTTTTTCGCAGTGTTGAATATCATTAGCATTAGCAAATTTCAAAAGAAAGCAATAAAAACAAGAAAAAATTAAGTTCTCGTAAAATTCTTTAGTAGCTTTAGAAACATATTTTGAAATAGTTTTCATAGTGTTTTTTTTTTTTTTTTTTTTTTTTTGTACATGTACTAAAATCAATATCGAAAGATCAAACTACGTTGTTACTCTATGCCATACATCGAAGGATACAAAATACAACAAAGTTCTTATCCGGACTAATGAACGAAAAAATTTCACAAAATATGAATATTTTCGCAATGACTCGACTCTATCGCCGGACACCCGGAACGTTGTACAGTCCCTTTCAAGGCATACGTTTAAGATGCTTATCTATTCGTTTCAATTGGTGTTCTCATAGGCTAGTTATGGTTATGTTTGGTAGTAACTAAACGAAAACCGCATAATCGAACAATCAATGAAACATCAGGAACGGCATCGCAATGTTCTTTCGTCGGATGAAAGGTTGAAAATGCATAAGATGTTTGTCGGCGTAGTCTGTAATAATTGTATATAACCGACTAGGATTTGTGATTAAAACTATCTGATAAGTAGTAAACCTTACCATATTTGGAAAAAATGCTTTGGTACTAAGCCACGCCAGGGGGAAATGAAATATAAATGCCAATGCCAACTTTCAAGAAATTCAACGAATTAGCTTAGGAGTAGGAAACGCCTCACAATTATTTACACGAAAGATTGAACCTATTTTCGATTTTATCATTTTTCCTCAAATCCTCAAGTATTGTATCAGAAAGTGTTTTTAAACCATTTTGCGCACTACAGTCAGTTGTTCATAATATATTTTCTCATAGAAGGACTTTTCAAAATGGGAGAAAGTGCTCCCGTCCGAATCATTTCCAATAGCGTTTGTCCTTGCATCAAATTTCATCAACAAATCTGAAGACCTGTCATCTGTCACCAAACAGTGACGAACAAACGCTTTAATAAAAGCTTGTCTCTAACCCAAGCCCTTCACAGTGCTGCATACATCCCTACAATCTCAATACATTCTGTGCAGTTGTCCTCTGCTACTGCAAGCCATACGTTATGTATTAAAATAAAGCGAAATCCAAATTGTTTGGAATATGCTTTCGCGACTCGCCTTCCCTTTTGTCCACGTAAACTTACTTTTTCCTTTACAATTAAACTTCAAAATATGTTACAACTACTGGACAAAATGCCGATAAACTCTTTGCCTTTAAGCCGGAAATAGTCTATGAAAGTGTTTGTAATACAGTTGATTGTGTTAGTGGTTAACTGCTTTAAGTACTGCACCATATACTAGTTACAAAGGAACAACGATAACTTTGTACGGATGTAGGCAAAATCCAGAAGGACTTGAAAGAGACTCATATATCATTACATCGATCTAAGCTTGTCTGTACGTCTTGCATTCCTCTATGGAATTCTTGAGATAATTTGATGACGTGTTTTGGCCCAAAGGCGAATGCTACTAAAACGAACCACTCTTTCAACCGCCCCAGCGAAGTTGTGTAGGCTTTTGTTACAATTAATTTTGTTTTTTTTACATTTTACGCTATTTGCGAAATTCTACTGTAATCCTTGTTGCACTTATACACATAAATGAATTGGTAAGGAGGTCATTACCATCGCACAGCTGACAAGGAGGCCAACAATTTATTAACCCTACTGAACAAACGTTGTGATTGAATGAAATTCATTCTATGAATGAAACCTGTTGCTTCTATTTCAGGTCAATACGCAACCTCCTCAGTTATGCACTTTTATTTGCTATTCCTATGCCTCTGTTCGTCGTTCGTAGTTTTGTTTATGGTATACGGATTGCTCTTAATTTTTTTTTTTTTTTTTGTGGTTCTCAACATATCTTTCAATTGTTGTTATTTAGAACGTTGTTTATTAATGGACCACAACTGCGCAATCACTCTTCATTTTATACTATTTCATACACTCATGCATGGCATACTGAAAATAGGAAAAATGTTTCTCTAGAAAGAAAACAAACACCGTTAGGTAAAATAGTGTTTCCTTTCTTTTTTTTAGTTTTTTTTATTTCTTAGCACTATAGTGAAATTTATTTTATCATAAACTGAACAAATTCAGTGACATTTTATGACAATTACTTTATTTGTTATCACTAAATCAATTTCAATTTACTCAGTCGCTTATTACACATTTATGCGATAATATTATATATTTATGACTCACTAGGATTCCTTCGGTTATCCGCTAAGGAAGCAAAATAATCTATTGAGTTTGTCATTTGGTTTGTAACACATATTCAGAGATTGGAAGCAGCGTGTGTGTGTTTGCAGACTTCATTTAAGTTTTTCATCCTATTGTCTGTCCGTCCGTACAATTTTCTTCAAATATTTCCAAACTTGGAAAGCAAAATTTTAGAAATTTTTTTTCCGAACGTAAACATTCGACCACACACTTACACGCACTGATAATACCTAAACTTGAAAGAGAAAGACGAAAATTTCAATATCCTATGAAAAATAACATAGAATTTAAATTGACTCGGGTTTGAAATCTCAGGTGCGGTAGATTTGTCAATAAAATCCGATGACCTTAGATGCAAGAGCTTTAAAACCTCACTCTTAGAATTAAGTTCTCTGGCTAACTTAATTACAATAATAGTAACAATACTTCGACGCGGCATAAAAAGACAATAACCATTTAAGATAGTGGATATTCAAGGGTCGATACACACACGGCATATGTGCTTTGCTTGCTGGTCTTATCAGTTCATATGTCTATAAACCATTACCATACTACATTTGAAGCAAACTCGTATTTTTGTTCGACCTCGGACAAGCACAAGGCTTAGAACCAATATTTGATAGCCACTCATTAACCGTTTGCGTTAAGGAACATTTTGAAATGCGTCTAATGTACATATATTATTAACACTGGGGACGATCTTCCTTACATAGAGAATATCTTTACCTAGAAAATAATGCTAAATCCCTTGAACATTCAGTAACTAACCTTACTAAAGGATTGTTACCGTCAAACATATCACCGGTATTTTCCAATTCATCTTTCCGTATTAATTGCTCTTTGGCGATCTGGCGATCAAAAAGCCAAGACTAGGTTGTGAAGTGTAATCTGAGTATAAATAATTTCCTCTGCTTTTTTCCTTTGGCTTTGGTTTTGTTGTGATATTCATCACTTAAGGATATTTCTCAATTGAATAAAGTAACAAGTTACTCGACATGATTTAACATGCCGACCGGTGTGAAGGTTCCTATGAACAAGTTTAACGCATTAAATATTTGACTTTACTACTATTGAAGTGGGAAGGAAAGCCCAAATAACGGGTGTGTACTCAACCAATGTAGAGCAGTCGTTATCAGCAAAGCTAGTAGCATTGCCACTGCGTATGTATATGAATTTCCCTTTGTAACACACGCACACCTAAGTGCACTTGTATAACAATGGATAGTGGAAAATAGATAAACATTTTTAGTCAGCATTAAATTACAAATCAATTCAAATATTCACTTACGTTCATCTGTCTAGTTTCGTCAAGTAGCGTTCAAATATGAGAGATATAAGGAAACACCCGGAAGTTTATTTCAATCACTACTAAGCGATCAATGGTGTAACAGCGAACAGCGAAGCTGAACAACTTTCCTTTTTTTTATTTTTTTTTTTTTTTTGCTTGTAACGCCTAGAAATATGCAACAAACACTTAACAAGCGTAAAATTCTGGAGCCGATTTTTAGTAAACTCGATCGCAATTTGAATTTGTTACTCGGCAGCAACTTTACGATGGCAAGATTTTTCACTTGATATCGATAGCTGCAGATCTTATTGAACCTTGTTCGTCCACTCGCAATCGCAAAATTACAATAAAAATAAAGGAGAAATTGACAAATTTAGGAATGGACTTAGACTTAATATGCTTACAATGAGCAACAAGTGAAACACGACAATCTTGGGTAAAGCCAAACTTAAATTTCACAAATGCATTTATCAGAGGTGACTACAATACAAAAGAGTTATCGACGAACTAACACACTCCCAATTGTTAACACTAGAACTATTCACGTATTCCTATCATTTTGACATGACAAATTTTGTGGCATCGCTAAGGTCGTCAAAATGGAGATGGGAAGCTGCAATGACTGATCGATTAAGTATATTAGGTTAACAAATAGGCATAATTTGGCCGCATACACGCCTACAGCAGATTGGAAATTGCAGCGACCTCGAAAAAACGACTACCGCTTTTCCTTTGTCTATGTCTTTCGACATGGTCAACAGATTTCGGAAAGCCTACCCATTCATTTGTTTTTCCAGAGTTCAGCTACTTTGAAATTTGTGTATTGTGCTCGGATGAGCTGAAGGCGATCAACATCCAAAGATCCAAGTCAAAACGTGAATATATATCAAAATCTTTAAAATAGTTAAGGATATAAGTTTTAAAAAAATTGACTTTAAAGTATGTGAAAAAAGAAAAGTATGAGTTTGCTTAAAGTTGTTGAGCTGCGAGCACCCGGTATTTCATTATACCGTTACTCTGCATACGCACATTGTATGTATCCACCAACCCTCAGCAATCGTCACTTGTCGTTAAACTCCTGGCAGATACTATTATTCAGTTGCATCCGGACTAGCAAATAGTGCAAAACTACTTTCTTCCCATTTAAAAAGTGTCGCAAGAAGAACTATAGAAGCAAAAAAAAAAAAAAATAAAAAAAATAAATTCCTTTTGCAAGCAATTAAATCAAAAAAAAAAGAAAAGAAGAAGTAGTTTGTCCATTAGAAATGTAATAAAATCAAGTGATAAATAAATCCAAGTGAAGATAAACAAACCAAGAATATTGTCGTTTAAATGAAAATTAAGTAAAAAGAAATTGAAATGGAATTAGCAGCAGATGGAGGCCAAACCCTTTTCTTGTATGAACGTTCAGCAATTATCGTTATGACTTGTTAAGTGAGTGTCAAAAGGTGTGCCTTCCTGTAGAGAAGAAGAACAAAAATAATGCGAGCAGAAAATGAAAAATGTTTATTTAATTTAATGTAAAATATATTCGTGGAAAAATAATAATTGTTATGATTATGTAATGCAATGAAAAATTTTCATTAAAAATCTAGAGAACGCCCCCTGGATGATGTAGAAATATTTCATGTGTCTATATCCGCGGAGCGAAAGATGCGGAGTCTGCGTTCTTAACGTTTATCAGTGTATTTGTTTTCACTTTTAATCCTTACGTTCAATGTTTACACAACAAGCAAACACAAACTCATCTTCGGCTAACGATGATGCTTAAGTCTGTGTTTATGTGAAAATGAAAATCAAAACAAAACCTAGTAACACAACTATGAACTCGTATTCATCTCAATGAAAAAAAACAATAACAAAAAACATAAATTATCTGCGATAAGGAGGACGAGGGAGTTTTCCTTTCCTCCATTCTAACTACTACCATTCATTTACTTGCACTCGTGCTGTCGTAAACACACGGCCGCTTTGTTTTCTTACACATTTTCATGCATAGTTATGCGAGGTATGCTCACGCAAGCAACACTTGTTGCTTCCATTCGCTTTGCATGACAATTATAAATAAATGCCAGAAATTGTGATGACTTCGTTTCAAGGCATAACAAATGTTTTTCAATTTATGCAGGAATGACTGCAACCCCATAGCAAAAACGTGAGGAAATTAACAATTTCCTGTCGTGCTTGAAATTTATAATCCGTGTTATTTGCTAGTTTTTCTCCTTTTCACCTTTTAGTATAGCATACCGGCACCCATAAGAAAAGGGAATGTTTATCATTTTCTAACAGTGTAAAAGAAACTCTAGCGGCTTTCCTTAATCACTTATGCAAGAATTTCGTGTTCATCAAATAAAATCGAAACGGGAACTAAAAGGCGATTAATTTCAGTTTAAAAGCAATTTTACTTCACTTCCTTACTTTTTTCCCAAAACATAGCGAGATTATGAAGAATGTGTTTGAAAGTGAAAGGCACAGGAAAAGCGATGGGGAATACGAAATATGTGTTCGTGTGTGTGAAGCGCACAGTCACACAGTTCTTAGGTTTTTTAAAGTGGTGCAAAAAATACTTCACTGCACCCGAAATCCGTAAGTTCGAGACTTCCTATATCGCGGGTGTTGGCAGGAGGCTCAAAACTTTGCTTGAAAGCCCTCGACAAGATTTTGTTCAAAACTACGTAACATTAAAAAAGAAAAATTATTTTATTTAAAGCCGTCGTCTACAGAAGGCTTAGTGCAACCTTGCAGTGCCACTTGTAGGTAATTGAAGGTCTACGAGGTACGCGTGCGTGCCATAGCTGAACTATTTAGTTTAGGAGATGTGGGAGGGATTCTATAACGGGTAGAAGAAATTGCCTCAGTGATTAGTGGTTGGAGAAAGAAAAAAATAGAATCTCCCTCCAAATATAATCTAAGTAAGTAGTCCATGACATAACTAGCATAGAACAGTAGGACCGCGGAAGAGCACATTTGAAGGCAGTTGAGAAATCCTTGCACATATTTGAGACTGAAAATGTTTTTGTTTTTAAAATACTTCCTCTCGCTTGATATAATATCATATAATACTTTAAACTCCTAATGAAACTTTGCTTTTATTGGACTGATGTTGCAAAAATTGTGGATACGAGCGACTTCTTTCTATTTTCGGATTCTACCAAGTTTTTGGAGCATTGTGAATGAATGGCCCTTTCAAGGAGGCGGGCAATTCGCGAGATCCACTCCTTAAGTCCCACGATATGTTGAAAAAATATCTCGATGTATGAGTTCATGCAAGGTATTGACGCCCGTTAGCACAACAAGCGATTTTTGATTATCTTCCGATTTCTTTTTTATTAGATACCCTACACGACTTCATCTAATGCAGACATTCACATATTCCTGTGATATTATTATCATTGTTATTATTATAATTTTAGATTAATGAAATACTTTTTTAGACTAAGTTAAAATGCTGCACTAGCAACATAGGCTATCGGCTCTAATTTATAAAAGTACATTAAATATTGCGGCTAATAGTTTTAATAAAGTAATCTATTGTATCCATAGGGTTAGTCGCTCCAATTGCAATACTTTTAGCCAAGGAAAAGCTAAGGCAGTCACGGAGAAGGTGCATTATAGTGACAATTTGTTCACAATTCTAGATTAGGGAGGAAAACTTCTTTAAGATCCATTGGTGAGTTGTAATTCTATGGCCAGGGCGAATTCTCGAAAATATTTGTATCGTGGTTTTCTCAACATTTTTTGAATATAAACATGGAATTAATTGAGAGTTAATAGAAGAGTAGTGCTCATGATGGTCCTGTAGATTTTCTTCGGAAATTATCTCTTTAACTTGTCTTCCAATATATCTTTAAAGATCTAACTTTTCCATGACATCATCCATAATTAGAGGTGTAGAAGCAGCATACTTCGTCGCTCGATCAGCTTGATACCGAAAGCATTGTAATTTTTTCGCTGAGTGTTGTAATGATATTCCTTAATCTGTTGATGGCACTCCGTCTCGAAGTCAAAGGATTCCCCTTAGCTACTAATAAAGACAAACTGTTAGCAACAATGACGGTTTTGAGTTTGTCTTTATGGGAAAGGTTCGCAGCGTGAAGGATAACTTTGGCTTCGGTTGTGATAGTTGAAGCATTCCGTGAAATATGTGAGTGAGAGGTACTTATCCTGAAGCATCTACCGCGCCACAAGCATGTCACAGACCGAAAGATTTTGAGCTGTCTGCGTAAAAAAGATTTCAACCGTTACTCTCCAGTACTTGGGTTTTTCAGATGTTAGATTCCTGAAGACGTGAAAAGAGCAGTCTTTCAAAACCCATAGAGGTTTAAAACTAAAAACGGAATGTTCAATTCCTTTGCGACTTACAAACAATAGTCAATTGGTGACTTTCGAATTTTCTCAGCAATAATAACATTTCCTATATCTTTACCGAGAATAGATTTTTTTGAATTAAGAAGCTTGAAAACGATTTTATCTTTTGACAAATGAAGTCTATTTTTGAAAGTTTGCGAGGCTAGTTTCAATTATCATATTGTTGATGGGTGGGCGATAGACTGGTTTAAGGATGTTGTTATTGGATTTGCAACTATTGCCATAAATTATGAAATCATAGTCAATCTTGCTTAAAACAATAGCATTTTAGTAAGATAAGCAATAGTGTTAATGTGTGCATGGCTTTTCCAAGCAACGTATTGTATGAAATTCAAATTTGTTAAAATGGAATATTTTAACCGAAGTCAATATGCTTTCCAACGATATTTGTTGGAAAACGTGAGCCCGAGAATATGGAACGTCCGCTCACTTTGTACTGGTAAGTCGTTAATATGCATCAGCAGATTTCCTGCATTGCATATCTGCTTTCGACAAATGTGCCTTTTTTTGATTTTTGTATAGAAATTTTAACCCCTGACGAGTTTGCCCATAGGGGGATCTCTCGTTCAATAGATTCCAATGTTCGATTCTCGGTAAAGGACGAAAAATTTTTTTAATGTCATTGAAAGCGATATGAAAAAGCGTGACAGAAAGAGAAGATCCTTGTGGAATGCCATTCAATAGTGGAAAGGAATCAGAGAGATGATTGTTAACTCCAACTTTAAACAGTCGATACGACATGAATGATATGATGTAGCCGAAGAATTTGGGTTCAACATTCCATGATTGCATGTGGCTTAAAATAAGATAAAGACCAACTCTGTCAAAAGCTTTTGCGAAATCAATTCAGGGAATTGTTACATGCTTCCGTTCAGAAATTGCTTTGGTTGTAAAGTAATCGGTATGTAAAAGAGCGTCGATGCGTTCTCTACACCGGTTGAAAACAACTTGTTGTTTTTTAATCAGGTTCTTGGACTCAAGAAACCAAGGCAATCTAAATGCCGTAGTCTTGCTTAACACTTTTGAGAGGCAAGATAAAAAAGAGATTGGGCGATAGTCCGATGCAATTTTTTGACTTTGGAATTGGAACAACCAACAGTTTCCACATGTAGGGTGTAAGGCCAGTCAAAAACACCGTGTTATATAGGTCCAGTTATTACTTTTTACTTGAATTAGACCGAGCACTGATCATTTGGTACGAGATGCAATCTAGACAAGTACTCCCCTTCGATTTAGAGAGACAATTTTCGAGTTATAAGATAGACGTGCAATTTTCCAGGAACGTGTCACATCTGTGAATAGCATTCGAAAGAGAAATCGGAGTCCTTTTATTTTTGATAAAAGCACCAAACTTTTCCAAAATAATTAGAAATCTCAGTTAAAGTTCCGTTGGAAGCGCAGATCGCAGAGATTTTGTTCAAATTTGAAGTACCATTGTGATAATAGGTTAAAAATTATGCTCGCTATCAACGTCAATGGGCGAAATGTATCCATGTTGTTCAAATTTGGTCAGATTAATTTTTATATAAAATTACTCTTCAAGACTACTTGATGGGACAGACGGGCAGGCAATCTTTTAGGTGTAAAAAGTGGGCTTAACTGAATTCCCCCAATTCAATTATCTTTGAGGCTTAATCGAAAGTCCTGAAATATCAACTCACGAAACTCTTTACATTCAACCCGTTCTTGTGTCGAAAAAGAATATTAATCGAATAAAAAGAAATAGTTTCTATATAAGATAAAAGGCCTTACATAGATGTCCTCCTAAGAAATTTCTAAACTGGACGCAAGACGTCAAATTGCGTTTATTAAAAGTGAGAATAGAGAATTGGGAATTTTTTCACGATCATTCGAGTCACTCTCTCCTTTGCTCGCAGTTTTCTACGATTCTTTCTTCTTCTCTACAATTATTGTTCAATTTCCAGAGGATCAAAGAGATGAGTATGTTAATCTAGACATAAATGTATTCGTTACAGCCTATCGCGGTGGATAATGATTAAATGAATGACATAAATGAATACAATTGATGACCAGGTTTCAGTAGTTGTTAAGATGCATTCAACGACTAATAATAATCACGTAAATAATAACGAGGATTACGATATTGATCAAGATGGAATGCAGGATTTGGGTTTGCCGGTTTCAGTGCAAACATTTCTTTGGCGTCAAATCGCACCATTCATAAGACCCAAATTGGGTAAATTGCATGAAGCCAGTTGCATGGTAAGTAATTACTTTAATATTAAGGTCGAATCAATCAATCGATTATTCAGTTAGTCAGTTAGTCAGTCAATCAATCAGTCAGTCAGTCAGTCAGTCAGAGAACGATAAGATCACAAATTAAGTTAAAAAGCGTTTAAAAATACTTTAAATAAATAAGAAAGAGAATAACAATTTAAACAGTTAACAGATGTTGGATGTAAATCAATGTAAAACTTTTCTTGTCTTTAGCAATAAATGAAAGAAAGAAAGAAATTTATTTGTGCACCGTACTTCTTACACTTAGTAAACCAGAAATATATACGCTGTACATAAATGCTATATATATACATATATGTATATACATATATATATCTCTCTAATTTTTTGTGTATGTGTGTATGTATGCGTGTGTGTGTGTGTGTGTGTGTGTGTGTGTGTGTGTGTGTGTGTGTGTGTGT